GGCTTGTCGGCCTGCAGCCGAACAAGAGGTAAGATAGGAGCCAGAGAAAACTATGCTAGGCCTCTGTTATCGTGAGTGACGCTGCAAGTATCACTCCTCATCTGAAATTCTTTCATCTAGAGATACCAAATGAGCCTTAGAACGCCTCATTCTCATGTTGCTATTTACGTACATAATTAAAATTCCAAGTTAAAGGACAAACAAAAAATATATGCATTTTTTTTTGGCTGAGGAAAGCATGTAGTCAAGCAAAAAAGGATGACTGCTAATCACAAAGAACAGACATCTCAAGTTAGTGATTTTAGTGTTTTCCTATCTCTGAGAAGATGCAAGAACCTTGGGTCACTGAAATTTTTCCTTAGGTATGCGTCCGAACTAGTCGAGGGCCAGTATATCCAAAGCGCAGAATGCTTCTTGTCACTCTGCAACCTGAATTCCCCTCAGGGGCACTGTGGTTGGGTGACTGCAGGGGCTGATGGCTTGATCCTTGTAGGACTGGAACGACAGGCAACATTTTTTTCTTGACAGCCTTGAATCTAGTAGATGTTTGCTGCATCTTGGTTTCCCTCTGATCCTACGTGCAGCAGAGCCATGACCGGTGGGGAGCAGGTAGAATGGGGGCCGATCACAGGAGTGGCTCACTGATTGACTGAAGTGAAAACATTGAAAGACAAATTCAAGTCTGATTTTGTACGGAAAAATGAGGTGATGAAGAAAAGTGCATAAATCACTTAGATGCCATTTTCCCCGCAACTCCAAAGACCTCCAAATACACAAATCATCGTCTACAACATAAAGTGTCTCTGCTTCCTAGCTCCGTGCCTGCAGGCATTATAATACCTAATTCAGGATTCTTTCAATGATTAAAGAAGATAAACAAGGGTTTTTCCAGTGGGTAAGTCCCCCCCACCCCGCAAAAAAAAAAAAAAAAAAAAAAAAAAAAGGAAAAGAAAGGTTATATCACCACTTTCTACTTCTGCAGCAATTATAAACATCTTCCATGGGAAGTGAAACAAAAACAAGTAATCTCCCTTCATTTTCAATGAAGAAAGCTAGTCTGTGTGGGAAGTGGTTTACTCTGGAATTACAGGGCAAGCAAGGGGAAGTGTGACCTCTCAGCTCTGTGTCTGTCATTACTTTTGCTCTGATTCTTTTGTCTACTTTGAACCAGATACATTTGTTTAGAGCCTTGTCAACAGATTATGCAAGAGGAATCACCTGAGAAACACCTTCAAAAAAGGCAAAGCCAGTGCTTGAAGGTGCTGAGTTCTGATCCTAATTTCTGTCTCTAGATGGAGCTGCAGGGTGCAAGGCACCAGGTACCCCTGGGGCGTCAGGCAAGCGAGCCTGTTTTTCTCCTGCATTCCTCTCCCTTCTCTGCCTCCTCTCCTGTGTGGTTTGTGTACCCGCCGGGATCTGGCACTGAGCCTTCTAAAAAATCTGAAGAGACCTTCTTTCCCTTTGGCTACGATAGGGTGGTTCGGCTCAAAAACAGCTTTGCCTCTAAAATAACCACGATCCCATGTATTACTAATTTTTCCCCACTTCTCCATGAATGGTCAAGGGAATTTGAGATTTTTTTACTCAGGAACCATCTGGACATTTGGCAAAATCACGGAACTTCTCAAATGCAGCCTGTACAAGGACGCTGAGGGCATTCGCTTTTTTTGTTTTGTTTTTCTTTAACTTTGGGTATAGTTTGTATTATAAAGTAAGTTTACAGGAAAATCTATAAAGTTTTCACAACATTTTGGGGATGATGGCATCACAAAGTTAAATTCAGTTCGTCTCTGCTCCTGCAGAGGGGCGGGGGGACATCACAGGTGCAAAACCTGTCACAGCAGCCGTCTGAATCTAAAATTGCATTGATGGCTTCTCAGCCCCACAAGCACTTTCTGCTGAGGGCACTGCCATGCCCAGGAGGACTACTGGTGGATGCCAGGGGGAGGTCTGAGTTCAAGTCCTGCTTCGGGGTACTTCTCGGTGACAGAGAGCAGCTGGAGCTTCTCTGACAAAGCACAGGTGCTGAGCATGGGGACAGTAGGGGTGATTCCAGGGCAGCTGAAGACATCAGGGACATAGCTTCTGCTTTGTCCTAAGCCTAAATGTTGGTTGACACACGTGGCCACAACCCTGCCTGGGTGGATAATCTGACAGCAATTCCAGAAGCTTCTGTAAGGCTCAGTGAGTGGGCATCCTGTGCGTGCCCGGCTGGGGCTGGCACCTGGCTGACCTGAGGTCCCACCTTGGAGCCCACTGGCCAATGCAACCTGCAGCAGCCCCTGGGTCCAGCATTTCCCAGCTCAGGCAGAGCAACAGCTGCTTCAGAATCTGCTAGGCTGCTTGTGGAAAATGCAGCTTCCTAGCCACACACTAGACTCTCTAGATCCAAATCAGAGGTTCTGGAAATCTTCGTCATTAACAAATGCACGAACTGAGGCTCCTGCACACTGACACCCCTTCTCTGGAGAACAGTCCACCTTTAACACCCAAGCAGAGTCCCCAGTGAGTCAGGGCCTCTGTCACTCCCCTTGGTCTTGGGGAGCAGCATTGGGCTCCTGCTGGCCCCAGGGAGGTGTCCCCCACTGCATGAAGGGGTGAAAAACTCTTCACGCACAGAAACATTAGACAAATTGGGGCTTTTATTTACAGAATATGGAAGAAAAGCATACAAAAGAAGCCTCTTGGTCAATCGTGTAAAGGGAAGGTTCTAAAACTCAATTTTTAGTAGGGTGTGGATGCTGATATATTTTTTTAAAAACTAAAGAGAAAGAAAAGGCGAAAAGGTAATCTGCAGCATGGGCACCTTGTCTCCAGGGAAATGACAACTCAGCTGAGTGATGGTTTAGAGCAGTTCATCTTCTGCACACACGAAATCTGGCTCCCAGGACCATCCCTGCGAGGTTTTGACTTTTGAAATTTCTGGATTAATTCTTAACCAGAATTCTAAAACGTGGGGGTCAAATGTGCTTGGCCTTATAATGTCTCTAATTTGGGGGTGGGCGGGGGCAATTCTCCCTTGGACAGGCTTCAGCCGCTCTCGTCCCTCCCAGGTCACACTTCTATGTCCCCTGGGAGACTCAACGGGCTTCTCTGGGGGCAGCCCAGCAGCACTGGGCCACCGGGCAGGCGTCCTCAAACCCGCACAGCCTCCTTCCCGTCTGCCTTTCCTGTGACCAGCAGGTCGCGCAGGCCTGACTCTCTTTCCCACCAGACGATGCTTTCCTTTTTCTTCCACGGGTGTCGCCTCTTTTCACTGACTCGCAGCGTGGCCAGGCACGCTCTAATTATCGTACATGTGTGAAAACGTGCCATCGTCAACTCTCATCATTTGAGCTAAAACAAGACCATTTGTTTTCTCTTTTCCTCACCGATATTAATGATGCAGGAATTGGGTCCAAGTTCGTCTTCAACATAAGCCTCCAGAACGTGAAGCACAATCTAGCTTCACGGCTACAGCGCTCTCCTACACTCGCTCCTCTTTCTGTCCATCTGTCTGTCTTCCAACCTTCTCCACTTCCCGGTGCCACCTGCTTGGGTTTGGTGGGTGAAGCCCGAGCACTGAGCCCTCATTTCCCTGCCCCGGGAAACTTCACAGGGCAACAAAAGCAGGTGCTGCCACCAATCCTGCAGACTGGTCCGTAATAACTATTTTGGACTTTGGGACATTCTGGAAACCAGGTCAGAACAGGGGCCTATCGTGGAGGTTGGCAGCGGGCACCCCCCTGTCCGATGATGGTCCAGTGGCAGTCCACGGGTCACCCTCCGGGCCCAGGACCCTCTCCCGCCCTAACTTTGAATCCAGCTGAGATGACGTCAACCTGGGCAGCACAGAAGAGGAAAGGCTGCTCCAAAGGCAGCCAGTGTGAGCTCACAGGCCTCAGAGGGTCTGCAAGCACCAGCACGGCGTCTCTGGTCACCCAGCCTCCCCCGGACCCCGCCCAGAGCTTAAGATTTTCCAGCGCTGATAACGCAGACCTGGCACCTGTGCTTCCGCTTCTCTCACCCAGCATACTTCTTCTGCTTCCTTCGTACCTGTCTCCTACTTTCTGGTTCCTTCTCTAAATCATACACTTTCATTTCCAGGTATAGCACCTCCCTCTCTCCCCAGAGAGCACCCTTTGTCGGCTTGATGTCGAGGACGAGGGGGCTGATGGTACCCCAGGCAGCTGAGTCAGGAGGCCAGCCATCTGCCTGCAGGAGAGTCTGGCCAGCTTCATGTGGCTGGGCTGGACTGGGCTGGACTGGGCTGGACTGGGCCCGGCAGCCCTCAGGAGCACTCTCTCCCTCAAACAACCTGCACCTGAACTTGCAGATCCTAGCACCCTCATCACCACCTCCACATTCATGTCAGAGAAGGTGAAAGTGACAAGTCTTCATCTACTTGAAACAGTCATGACACATCATCAACACAGTTTTCAAAGCATCGTAGCTTTCAAAGAGGTTTTTCTTCCTTCCTTCTTCTCAAGCCTGTAATTAAAACTCCTGGTGGCAAAGGGGTACAGGAAGGAGATGGGGGGATGACTTCAGGAACAAACAGTTCCTTGGGTGTCCTCAGAACCGAAGCAGCTAAGGGCTGGGAGTCCTGTCAGCCTGTGCGCTTTCTAGAATTGAGCAAATCAGCTCACTCCAGATGCAAATCCCCCATCCGTGTCCCTGATCACCACTCTGCTACCCACCCAGAGCGCGGACTTCTGTCAAGTGTTTGTCTCCACACCAGCCCCTGCCCCCTTCACGGGCAGCTCCGGTTTTAGCGAACTAACCCTAATCCCAAGCCTGACCTCAGCCTAATTCTCTGCAGGATTGTCCACCAGGGCCACCTGTGTCCCAGACACGTGGAGAGCTCAGCAGTTGGAGGGGGATGACTCATCGGAAACACTCATCCAGTTCAACCAAGACGTCTTCTTTCTTCCGAGTATTTTGTGAGTTCAAGTCTGAGATGCTCCTGGATTCGCACTGTTCCCGGAACACAGGCTTCCAGTCTGCCCAGGCAGCTCCCACTAGCGGACAAACGACACCACACTGGTGGCCACTCCGAACGGGGCGGAGTAGGCAGCAGCGAATCCCTGCAGGCCAACCACAATGTAGCGGCATCCTTTGGTGATAACCTTCCCAACGTTCTATTTTTAGGAACAGAAGAGAAAAGCAAAGGGTTAGGCGAGGCAACTTTGTAATCTTCCATGCACAACGGTGCCATACATAAAGAATCATTTCGCCTCATTTTCCCAGGGCAAATGAGCCAGCTAGCATTTTCTCAGCTCTCTGGTGTCCCACACCCAACCCCATCATACAAACACTCGGGGGCTCAGAACAGGCATAGGCACCTTGAAAAGGGCTTTCCAGCCCTGCATGTTTCCAGATCATTCAGAGATCTTCTTGGAAACAGCAGTGAAGCTACTTTTTTTTTTTTTTTTTTTTTTTTTTTTGCGGTACGCGGGTCTCTCACTGCTGTGGCCTCTCCCGTTGCAAAGCAACAGGCTCCGGACGCGCAGGCTCAGCGGCCATGGCTCACGGGTCCAGCCGCTCCGCGGCATGTGGGATCTTCCCGGACTGGGGCACGAACCCGTGTCCCCTGCATCAGCAGGCAAACTCTAAACCACTGCGCCACCAGGCAAGCGGGGTCCACTCTTCATCGTGGTGCGCGGACCTCTCGCTGTCGCGGCCTCTCCTGTTGCGGAGCACAGGCTCCAGACGCGCAGGCTCAGTAGTTGTGGCTCTCGGGCCTAGTTGCTCCGCGGCATGTGGGATCCTCCCAGACCAGGGCTCGTGTCCCCTGCATTAGCAGGCAGATTCTCAACCACTGCGCCACCAGGGAAGCCCCTTGTTGCTTATTTTATAAACAGTGGTGTATATCTGTTAATCCCAAATTCCTAATTTATCCCCCCCCCTTTCCCCTTTGGTAAGTTTGTTTTCTATGCCTGTGAGTTTCTGTTTTGTAATTAAGTTAATCTGTATCATTTTTTAGATTCCACATTTAAGTGGCATTATGTGATATTTGTCTGACTTACTTCACTTAGTATGATAATCTCAAGGTCCATTCATGTTGCTGCAAATGGCATTATTTCACTCTTTTTTATGACCCTCCTCAGCTTTCTTTCCCTTCTAACAAACTTTAAAATGTTGGAGTTGTTCAGTACTGTTCTTTACTTTTTATTTAAAAAAATATTTTGGGCTATAATCTCTCCGCAGGTGGTCTCATCCATTTCCAATGACTTTAAGAATTCCCTGTATGCTGATAAAGCCCATATTTATATCTTCAGCTCAGACTCAAATATTCAGTTCTCTACTTGAGGGCTCTATTTTTTGAGGCCTCAAGATCCCTCTGGCATACACTCTTCCTTGCTGCAACAAACAGACAGATCTAACTTGGACTGGCTACTAGTGCATTCCTAGAGGCCTTTGGCTATCAGGCTTCAACAGGAAGGATGCACCAAGGAGTTAAATTTATCCATGATTATACAGCTGGTAAGAAGTTCAATCCCAAAGAAATCTCACCTCAGGGCCTGTGTCCTTACTCCCCACATACACTTCCCTTCTTTAAGGAAGGCAGTATGTAACCTTGCAATTGATTGCTTGTGGCCTGGGCTTAAATTTCAGCCCAATCGCTTATTTAATTTTCATTGGCCTCAGTTTCCTCACCTATAAAATGGGCATAGTTAGTAACCACCTCATTGGGTGAAGAGGCTTAAAAAGGTTTACGCAAGGAAAGCCCTTAGAACAGTGCCTGGCACCAAATGCAGGCAGTAGGACTGCCCCCCAAAGGCCAGCTATCTTTATTGGAAAATAACCTTTGCCTCTTTTTATTCTACAGTAATTTATGTTTGTGGTGGTAATTTTGAAATCTAAGATATTTTGTTATCTGTTCAGGAAAGTTTCTTAAGACTGCACTTTCCTAGGATTTCTGGCTTACGTCAGCTTTCGGAGACCTCAGAATAACAGGAGGAGGTCGTGCTCAGTATTGTATGCCCAGCATCCAGAAAGGGCCTGGTGTTTCCTTTGGTTGTTCTCAGGCCAAAGGAGGAGTTCTGGGAGAGGAAGGTCACTCTGATGGCCTCTTTAGACACTGATTCCCAGGACACTGCCTCGTCAACTTCCCAATGAGATACTAGGGTGTGTGTTGGGAGCAGGGAGGCAGTGATGCTGCTAAGAGAAACATCTCTATAAATGTGTAATAAGATTCCGTGGGAGAATTTTACGTACCTGTTTGAAATAACAACGACAAAAACTGTCCTCCTGGAGTAAGTATTAACAGTCCAGAGCATCCTTTATAAGCCAAGCCCCTAGAATCATGGATAGCCTGCATTAAACTTGACTTTTTGGGTATTTGTACATCCATTTCCCTCAGCCTGCTATTTTAAAAAACTGCTTGTCACTTCATCTTTGCAAATGAGAAAAAAAAGTTACTAAAATAGCTCATTAGCTAGAACACAGTCAAAACACAGATTTGAGAAATGTGACGCAAAGAAATGTAAAATAGCATCGACCATTTCAGTGTCATTGGAGGGAGCAGATTCTGAAATCTTTTGATCTGAGTAGAGTTTCAACCCATATAATCTCTCAGAGGGGTGGAGGGGCCTGGGGGATCATGGGACAGTGTGGTAGGTTGAATAATGTCCTCCCCTCAAGATGCCCATGTCCTAATCCCCAGAATCTGTGAATATGTTACCTCATACGGCAAAAGGGACTTTGTGGATGTGATTTAATGAAGGATCTTGAATTGGGGAGACTACCATGGATTATCCAGGGGGTCCCAATCGTTATAAGGATTCTTTTTTTTTGCGGTACGCGGGCCTCTCACTGTTGTGGCCTCTCCCGTTGCGGAGCACAGGCTCCGGACGCGCAGGCTCAGCGGCCATGGCTTACGGGCCCATGGCATGTGGGATCTTCCCGGACCAGGGCACGAACCCGTGTCTCCTGCATCAGCAGGCGGACTCTCAACCACTGCGCCACCAGAGAAGCCCATATAAGGATTCTTATATCTTTATAAAGATCCAAATAAAGATGACCAACCCTTACAGAAGGGAAGCAGGAAGAGTTGGCGAGAAGGCAATGCGGTGCCAGAAGCAGAGGGACAGAGAGAAAGAGACTTGCAGATGCTGTGCCACTGGCCCTGAACATGGAGGACGGGACCTCTGGAAGCTGAAAAGAGCAAAGAAAGGGTTTTCCTCTGGAGCCTCCAGAAGGAACCAGCCTGTTGACTGTAGCTCAGGGAAGATGACTTTTAGCCTCCAGAACTGTAGAATAAATTTGTGTTGCCTTAAATCACTATATTTGTGGAAATCTGTTACAGGCAAACTAATACAGGGAGTGAGGCTTTTCTGGGGGTTCCCGGGTAACCCCAAAGATGTCGGGGATTCCCTGTCCCCACCCCCAGTTTCCAAAAGAGAACCAGCTCTCAACAAAGATCCCTTTCCCCCAAGTATAAAAATCACGTCTTCCCTTGTGAAATCTGGTCGGGACCCAGGCACAAAGCTGAGGTGGGCTGTCAGCTACAGAAGCTGATTTTTTTCTGAGTTAGAGCTCATTAAAAACTGATCAGAGAACAAGCAGTCATATGGGACCTCTCCTCCATCCCCTTAGATAAGAGCCAACAACAATTACAGGACCCTCGCCATGTGCCAGGTGCGTTCCAAGACCTGTACATGGACTAAACTCATTTACTCCTTACCACAGCCCTAGTATTAACCCATGTGACAGATGAGGAAACCGAGGCAGAGAGTAGAGCAGAGCTCAAGGTCACACAAACAGTAGGAGGCTGAGCACAGCTGGCGTCTGGCAGTCTGGCTCCAGGGCCCCTGTCCTAACCCCTTACTTAGACGTGGGACATTTTTCTTTCTCTTGAGCTCAAGGTTATTCCACACCCTGTGTTTCCCTTCTCCAACCCCCTCCGAGCTGCCCGATTAATGAAATTTAATAACTTTCCTTATCTGCGCTTCTCCCTGTGGCTCTCAGAGGTGCCTGGGAAAGGCGACCTCCTATCTGAAGCTAAGTTTGGGGTTTGGTTCCCTCACCCCCCTTCTCCCTCCACCCTAACTGCTTTTGAGCAGGCAGGGGCCAGGGGAGACTCCTGACTCCCAGCTCTGCTCTCCAGCTGTGTGGCCTTCAACAAAGAGCTTAACTTCCTGAAACTCCAGTTTCCTTCCCTGCATAATGGGAGTCCATGGCTTTCTAAGGTCGTTGAGAAGATTCAGGGTTATTGTGCATCGTAGGTGCAACAGAGCACCCGGCAGCCTGTAAGAGCACAGCAAACCCACACCCTTTCCCCTTCCCTGCACCCAGAAAACAGCACTCTCCCAGCAACTCCTGCCCATCTGAACACTCACATCATTACTTAAAAATCAACTGGGGGGGGAAAAAAAAAAAAAAGCAAAAGCTAGGGCTTCCCTGGTGGTGCAGTGGTTGAGAGTCCGCCTGCCGAGGCAGGGGACACGGGTTCGTGCCCTGGTCCGGGAAGGTCCCACATGCCGCGGAGCGGCTGGGCCCGTGAGCCATGGCCTCTGAGCCTGTGCTCCGCAACGGGAGAGGCCACAACAGTGAGAGGCCCGCGTACCGCAAAACAAAAACAAACAAACAAAAAATCAACTGGGGCCACTGACTGCCAAGAGTCCCAGGCACCCAGCCTTTCGAGCCCAGACGTTCCTGCCAGAGACTGGACCCAGCACAGCATTGGGTCGACCCTGCCTGGGGCCAAGGGGCAGCAAGGGAAGGGGAACCTATCCTAGGACAGTTCACAAAAGCCGAACACCTTTCTTTAAATAGAAGCAGGAAGGGACTCGGGTGAAGGATTTGAGCGGTTACCAGATAAAAAGGAACTTTATTCACCCTTCCTTGAAGGGTTGAGCTATTTGCAGGTCATTCCTTATTCCAACGGCCCAAGTGCAATAAAATTTCACCTGGTGACCAAAGCAGGGAAAGTCACCTCCCCACATTTCTAGAGGAGACGTGGCTATTCTCATGGATTTTCAACAAAGAAGGGTGGACCATCTGCTTCCTCCATGTTGGAGCTTAGATGTCGACCTTCTTGGTCGCCATCAAGAAAATGGAAGTTGAAGGGCAGAAAGGGCACATCCAACTCCAACATGACAGCGTCCCCGCCTGGCCTCCTGGTCTATTGAACTAGCATGTAACACTCACTCCAGAGCTCTCACCTGCCTCATCTCTGCTAGCACTCTGCCCTCCGCCTTGGATGCCACCCCTTCTTTACCTGGTGAAATTCTTTCTTTTTTAGGTGAGGTGAAATTCACATAATGTAAACATTAACCATTGTCAAGGGAATAACTCAATGGCATTGAGCACATTCACAACGTTACGCAAGCACCATTTCTACCTACTTCCAAAATATTTTCATCATCCCCAAAGGCAAACCCACACGCATTAAGCAGTCGCTCTGCATTTCTCCTTCCCTTCAGTCCCTGGCAACCACCCATCTGCCTTCTGTCTCTCTGGATTTACCTATTCTGGGTATTTTATATAAATGGAATCATACATACGATATGTGACCTTGTGTGTCTGCCGTGTACTTGCTTCCTTTTTACAGCTGAATAGTATTCCACTGTGTGTATGAACCACATGTTGTTTATCCATTTATCAACTGATGGACATCTGGGTGGTTGCCACTCTTTGGCTATTGTGAATAATGCTGCTGTGAACATGTACATATATATTTGTTTGAGTATCTATTTTCAATTCTTTTAGGTATGTACCTAGGAGTGGAATTGCTGGATCATATGGTAGTTCTGGGTTTAATTTTTTGAGGAACTGCCAAATTGTTTTCCACGGCAGCTACCCCATTTTACACTTCCACCAGCAATGCACAAGAATTCTGATTTTCCACATCCTCACCAACACTTGCTGTTTTCTGTTTTCTTTTTCCCTAATAATAGCTATGCTAGTGGGTGTGAACCAGTACCTCATCATTAACCTGTGAAACCTTGACTCATCCTTCTGTGCCCAGTTTCCATGTCACCATTGATTTGAAAACTTCTCTGACTTTACAACCTCATCCCTGAAGATTAACTGCCGAGGCTCTTCCCATGCAGCTCCATGGTGGTGCCCCCTATGGCAGCGTCTCCCTGGGAGGCTGTGGCCTCCTCTAGGGCAGGACTGCACCCTATCCATTTTTGTATCTCTAGTGCTCAGCACAATGCCTGCCACATAGTGAGAACCTTCAAAGCATCTTCAGCTCAGCCAGCCTCTGAGCTGAGATTTCCACATTATCAGTTCACCAACTGAGAGGCAAATGATGGCGCTTTTTTTTTTGCGGTACGCGGGCCTCTCACTGTTGTGGCCTCTCCCGTTGCGGAGCACAGGCTCCGGACACGCAGGCTCAGAGGCCATGGCTCACGGGCCCAGCCACTCCGCGGCATGTGGGATCTTCCCGGACCGGGGCACGAACTCGTATCCCCTGCATTGGCAGGCAGACTCTCAACCACTGCGCCACCAGGGAAGTCCGATGGCTTTTTTTGTGTGTGATCAGCTGGGACCAGGAAGAAAGATAATTCGTCCTAGCATGACTCTAAGCCTGAAAGTCCCAACTTTATAGTTTTTATTAATATACTATACCACTGCCTGCTTGTTTACTGCTCCCAAAGCTGCTGACATACCTTTAAAGAAGATGATAAGGCTAAGTTTCTAGGTGTGGCGACGTCGGTTTCAGGTATGGATGATATATCAGATGGGGCCCCTGCCCTTTGGCCAGGACAGAATGAGTTTTGTGATTATCTTCTGGGTGGCCTTGTCCAGTCCCAGGGACCAGAGGCAGCAGTAGCTTCAAGCGTTTCCAGGCCAAAGCACCTGGGAACTGTTTTGGGGCTTTGATCTCTAGGGAGGAAACTGCCATTTTGTCCCATATTCATATTATCTCTCTCTCTCCCTCTGTCTCTCTCTCCCACCCACCCCACAAGTGAATACTTACGGATTGTTGAGCTCCCAGGCCCTGGAAATCACCTTGAGAATATAGGGAGACATAACCCAAACAATTCTCAGCTAGTAGGATATCCTCGAGAAGGCGTTGCGGGAAAACAGACAAACTGGGCTGCACCTCCCTGCTTTCCAACTGGGTCACCTTCTCCAAGTCACCTAACCACGCTAATCCTTTAGTATTCCCACTTTTAAAATAGGGACACTGATTCCGGTCCTACCAACTACACAAGGGAGTGGGAAGACACACCTAGGACGAGAACCACCTGGGTAAGCGACCCCTTTGGAAAGTTACCCACCCGCCAGCACCGGGATAGCCGTGGAGCGGTGCGCAGGGAAACCTCTGATTTAATTTCTATCACACCCCGCAGCTCACTTTCCCCTTACTGCCCAGTTCACAGTGTGAGCAGTCTCGGGGCTCCAGGAGTGAATGCCGGGAAGGGGGTGCGCCTGGGAGGCCGAGGGGATGCAGGTCAGCGCAGAGAGGCCGAGACCGTCAGACGGTGGGGAGCCGACTACAGCTCTAGGGCGGGCGCCCCGCGCTCCCCGACCTCCAAGGGACAGTGGGGCCGGTGGGATGCCTACCTTGCCGTACCTCTTCAGCTTCTGCCGGTACCTCTTCTTAGGCTTCTCGCCCGGCGCCGGCTCCTCCAGCGGCTCGTAGCGCTCGGGGAGGACCGCGAGGTGCACCCTCCGCGCGCCCCGGGTCCCCGGGCGCTGCTCGCTCGCCCCGCTCTCCGCCGCCTCGGCCCCGCTCTCCAGATGCTCCAGAATAGCAGCCGCCTCCTCGTCCCCCTCCGTCCGCCTTCGCCCCCGGGCGAGGGCCCTGCAGCGCGGGAGACTGCTCGCCGCCTTGCTTCGGAGCCCGGCTCCCACCGTCATGGTGCCGCGGGCCCTCCGACTGAGGTCGGTGCACGAAGACACCAACCTTTGCGCCCAGCCTGCGCCTCCACCCACTCCGCCCGCCCTTGCCCAGCCCGGCCCAGCCCGGACAGGGCGGGCGGGCGGGGCGGGGGGGTGGTGTGGTGGGGGGAGGCCTCGCTGAGTCGGGGTCTGACGGGGGGGGGGGGGGGGGCGGCTGGGGGGGAGGTGGATGGGAAACTTGGGATCGCAGCGCCCCCTGGCTCTAGGATGGCGGCGGCTCCACCCAGGCCTGGCTCTCTGGTGGTCGGGCCCAGCCGCCAGCGTCCCATCCTCTGGCCAAAGGGGAGAGGGATGCTCCAAAGCTCAATGCACAGTGAACACGCAAAGCACGCTCAACCACACTTGCAGCGAAATAAGTGAACCCCAAATAGTGAGACTTCCTTTGCACACGTGCAAGCTGGCAGAGATGATGAGAGGTGATGATGATGGTGATGATGGTGATGAAAAAGATGACAGTAATAAAGATTTTACTCAATTCCCTGGTGGCGCAGTGGTTAAGAATCCGCCTGCCAGTGCAGGGGACACGGGTTTGAGCCCTGGTCCAGGAAGATCCCACATGCTGCAGAGCAACTAAGTCCCTGGGCCACAGCTTCTGAGCCTGCCCTCTAGAGCCCACGAGCCACAACTACTGAGCCCGGGAGCCACAACTACAAAGCCCGCGTGCCTAGAGCCCGTGCTCCACAGCAAGCGAAGCCGCTGCAATGAGAAGCCCGTGCACAGCAAGAAAGAGCAGCCCCGACCCCTCTCAACTAGAGAAAGCCTTCCACGCCCAGCACCAAAGACCCAACGCAGCCAAAAATAAATACAATAAATAAACTAATTTTTTTAAAAAAGATTATACTCAATGCTGGTGAGGGTATGGTGAAAGGATGGTTATAATACAATATTCATGGGTCTCAAACTGGAGACAGGCTTTTGGAAAGGCAATCAGCAAATATTTATCAAGAGTTCTGAAAAACGGCCATACCTTTCTAGGTGCCTATGTTAAGGAAACATCCAGAAACACAGAGCAGTGTGTCCACGGTGTTAATCACAGTCTGACTTCAGCGAAAAGTTGAAGGAAACGAACGGGGATGGGCAGGTGAAATTCTGGTGCAAGCATATGATATCATATGAAGTAATCATTAAAATCACGATTTTCAAGAATATCACTCTGGGGGAAAAAAAGAGAATATCACTGGAAGATATTCATTCTCAGGTCATTGTGAATCTCAGTCTGTTTGGGATGCCTTACTTTCTTATGTGGGTAAGTATCTTTTAATTCTTGGAAACTTAGAGTTAAGTATAAAATAATGTGTTATTATTTTCATTAATATTTTAGTACTATTAAAATGTGTGATATGTTTAAGAATGATTTCGTTATACTGCTCTAAGTACATAAAATAGTCATAATTTAACATATTAGAATATCAAAAATTACTGATTTCAACGTAAAATCAAGTAGTTTATTTAGACATAAGTTTAGCTTGAAAGGAATACAAAAATAAGTTAATTTACTGTATTTATAAGAATTACATAGTCCTGTACATAGTTGAAGTGCTTGAAAAGAAAATCACATATATTAAGTTTATAAAAGTCACTTAAAATGTTTAAGATAATTAAATTAAGTGAATGATAAAACCGCTTACAGTGACTGTTAAATTCTATTAGGTTTGTAAATGAAATAAAACAATACTGAATTTAAAAGCTATGGGAAGCTTGACCTGTGGATTTGCAACTTTACTAAAATAACTGTTAACTTATGAACAAAAACGGACCCTAATCGTCCTTTTTCTATGTGCAAAATTGACTTCTGAGAACCCCCCAGACGACATAATAAATGGAGGCATAGGTGGATTGTCCATGGAACGGAAAGTGTGTTTTGTCCATACAAAATACATTTCAAATACCACAACAACATTTAGGCTTGCCTGATAAAAAGCAAAACACTAGAGTAACTGAAAACTGATCCCTAGACTGTCTCTATAATCAGTGAGCAAGCAGGACTCAAGGAGATGTAATCAGAACCCACCTTTATGTTGCTGTCACCGTTTGTCTCTTTAGAAGTTATTCAGTGTGAAGAGCGCTTCCCTTGCTCCTGCGTGACTACTTAGGCAGTCCTATAACTCTTCTGAGCTCACCGTGGTAATCAAAAATCCCAAAGTTGCAAATATGTTCTCAGTTTATATAATTTCAAATCTTACAATGTCCAATTCCATGTAATACTCAGAGGCTTGAACTTGATTTTAAGCTAAGCCTCTCTCCTCCCTCAGAAAAATTCAGCACCTGCAGGGCTGTGATTATTTGCAGAAGGAGGGGAAACAGCAGAAGCGTGGCTTTCACCCCGGTCTGCTTTTCAAAGCAGGGAGCGCACCTGATTATAAGCAGGCTTGTTACATTCCCTCCAGGGCCCAAAGGACACTGCAACATGCTCATCTCCTAGCCTCTGCTCACAGGAAAGAGAATGGAAAGGGCTGAGTGCCAATCCATAGGAATCTTTCCTTCCTGGTAAGAATTAGGAACCTGACCTTCAAAGGAGCAAAAACATTGGAGGGCTAAGATTCATGAAAATAGATCATCAGTTAGTGAGTAAAAAAAAAAAATACTTAGACACCTCAAAGTCTTAAAAATAATTGCTTATTTGGAATAACTTGCATAAGACAGTTACAGATATTTAATTGAAAACAAAGTTTCCATCTGCAGACATAAAAGGTTTTATGTTTTCATCTTTTGTTTTGTAATAAATGTGTGAATTTGGAAAGAAAGAAAAAAAAGGAAAGGGAGGGATCTTTATGGACCTGAAGTTTTATGAATTAAAATTGTTTAAAGCTATTAGTTTATTTGTGTAGGCTTAGACTCCAGAAGAAACATATCTCTGGAGCTGAAAAGAGCTGGTTATAAACAATGGAGCAGATATAACAGGTTTAATTTTCCAAAGACTGCAATGTAAAGTGACAGGGGGAGCAGTTTTGAATCCTAGCTAAGTCTCAGTCTTGGGACAGCCCCCAAAAGGGAGGATGGTCTACTCCTGCCTTTGCTCATGTTAAAAAAATTTCTTTTAAAGATTATTTTAAGTTTGGAGCCTTCTACATTAACTATCATTTAGTTCAAAAGGTGGTAAAAACAGATGGCATAATAGGAAGAGGAAATTTAACATTTGCATTTAAGTTTTTTCTTTTCTTTTCTTTTCTTTTCTTTTTTTTTGTGGCTGCATTGGGTCTTCGTTGCTGCACGCGGGCTTTCTCTAGTCGCGGCGAGCAGGGGCTACTCTTCCTTGCGCTGCACAGGCTTCTCGTTGTGGTGGCTTCTCTTGTGGAACACGGGCTCTAGACGCGTGGGCTTCAGTAGTTGTGGTGCATGGGCTCAGTGGTAGCAGCGCACGGGCTTACTTGCTCCATGGCACATGGGGTATTCCTGGACCAGGGATCAAACCCATGTCCCCTGCATTGGCAGGTAGATTCTTAACCACTGCGCCACCAGGAAAGTCCAGTATTTTCTTAAAAAATATATCTGTAGTTGATCTGTGGTAATCCCATTCATGCAGATCCCAGTGAATGCAAAGTTGGGAATGTCAGGCACAGCACATTTTTATTTCACTTAAGGGGTTGGATTTCTGCACCAAAGATAAAGATCAGAGATCTGAGGTAAATACAATGTAAGCCTGGGACTGCAGTTAAAGGATGTTACAACTAAAATTTACTACAATTGCAAAAACTAGGGTCTTCCATAAATTGCTTCTCTTTGAAATCTGAAGAATTTTTTTTTTTTTAATTTTTTTTTCTCTTTCCCAGAGAGAGCAAGCTTTTTCCTGTCTTGTGATTACTGTGAGGGGCTGACCATTTGGAGCTCATCCAGAGTCATCTGAGCCCAGGCTGGGCTGGGCCACAGCTCAAATTAGACCCAGCTCACCTCTGATAAACCCAAGCCTCAAACTTCTGGGCGACCACTGTCAAGAGGCCAAAGCGGTTGATCTTATCAGCACTGGGGCTGGAAGGGGATTGGAGCATAGTGTCAGCATTTGTTCACCCTGGCTTCAACTCCAGCAGGGCCCTGACATCAACCACGGTGGGAAAGTTCGAGAAAGCCCACGTGCTTCCCAGAGCTGCCTCTCTGCGGCTTTCTCAGCACAATTCCAGGGATAAGAGGGCCATCGCGTGGCCAAGTGGTTTGTTTACTATTTATCTGGGGCTCATCCAGATTCCAGTCTAGCTTGCCAGCCCACATGTAACTAAAAGCTTGGCTCTTCCCCGCTCACCTGTAGGCGTCACCTCTCAGTACCAGGCAAGCCCCCTTCCTCGGGTCCCCGCACCCAGCTCAGCGACTTGCCCGGGAGTGAAGGCTACACGCCTGCTGCCCATCCGTGAGCAGCTTGTCCCTCGCTGGAATTCCATTCACCAAGACATCCCTGCATCCCCCACGGGTGCATCATTCTCCATCAGAATCAGAATCAGAAGTCTTCTGTGGATGAAGCCTTAAAGTGTAATGTATAACATTCAAAATCATCCTTCAACACTATAATGGAATTGTATCTTATTTGGTTGGATTTATTCAAAAGCCACTGAAGACTTGGAAAACCACTGAGCTATTTGCGCTGAATATTGATAATAGAAAAATGTATGTGTAGAGAAAAAAGGTCAGAATTATGACCTTATGAGTTAAAAGAAAACAAACATTTATGACAAAACCTGAAAAACCTGCTTTGATATGTATTCTCCTTTGCCAACAGTGCATCACTCAATTATACATATACATATATATATATATATATATATATATTCGAATTTAATAAATAATAAAAATATGTATTTCCTGGAGGTGAGTTAAGATATTTTAATAACTGGTTCTGTATTTAGAAAAAAGCAACATGGAAAACTATCTTGGCTTATATATAGTAAAACCAAGTAAATATTTAGTTTGATACAACAATACTTAGCACAAATAATATATTGATTAGAAGGGAATGCTATCATATATGGAAG